TCTATCCCTCCTTTTGCTTTGTATATTTAATCTCGCATATGCCTTTGTGTCATTCCCATACACTTATCATATTTTACTGGCCTCAAACATTACTTTTCTAGCCATTCTGGATAAAATTTGGTTCTTACTGGATTGAACCAAAACACAGAATGTTAAGACCCTAACGCTTACTAAGGACATGTCAGAAGTTTCCAAAGTCCCTTAATCTTTCTCTATTTCAGCTGAGCAAAACCTTGCTGGTGGCGATATAATAGGTACCTGTGTTAAGCTAGACTTTACTCGAATGAATGATCGAGTAGCCTAGCATCCATCACAGATCCTCGCTATTGCCCAGGAATCCAAACAATATCCACAATAAGTCAATTATCCTTGCATGGATTTCGATTTTTCTATCTTATTCCAAAGACTTTAGATATTTTTATGTCATATACTTTAGAGGATGAGCTGATGAATCTGCTTCAAGCCATTTGTCTTCGCTTGTATGCCATTTCGACATGATATATTCGCGAAGTACCCAGTGAACCGTGACGTATTGGACTTTCTGTACCAGGCTCTGTTACAACTGAATGGTATATCTGCCCAGAGACTGAATGTACGCTTGCAGATTAGCCCGGGTGATAGACTTGTGCTTACAGTAGGTATTGAAAATCGGGCTGGTCCACACATCGGTTCAGGATTTCGACAATTAGTCTGTCTTTGGATGAAGCTACGCCGAAACAAGTTAATGCCCCTTTTATAAAAGTGCACATACGCACTAATATAAATTGCTACGAAAGTGAGATAAAATTATATAGAATAAAAAGTGTATAAAGAATATTGGGCACAGAGGAGATAGCCGTATGGTGAAAAATGTTATCTGCACCTCATCTCAATGCTCACCAGAAGCCCTGGCGGCCCCAATACCCCGAAGGGCCCGCGTGGTCCCTTAAAGCCCATTTCTCCAGGGATTCCTCTTACACCCGGCCGGCCAGGAGGGCCCATAGTCCCCTTCTCTCCAGGCTCTCCAATAACGCCTCTATTTCCGTTACTCCCTGACGGTCCATCCCTTCCGTCCCTTCCGGGTGCACCGTCAAAGCCTGGAGGGCCCATCGGACCGTCCAAACCAATAGGGCCCTGTTGTCCTGACTGCCCCAAAGCGCCAGTAGTGCCTTGAGGACCAGGAGGCCCCTGAATTCCTCGTTCGCCCTGAGAACCATCAGAGCCGACTTCTCCGGGATCACCAGGGTCGCCGATATTTCCTGGCTGACCGGGATGGCCTTGCACACCTTTTTCTCCCATCGCTCCAGGGAGACCCTTGTGGGAATAAAGCAAGGCTTGTAGTTATTTTAGAATATATGCATTTATAAACTTATCAGGCATGGTCCATAAACATATGATGAATTCAACAGACTTATTTAAGGGCAGTAATCTTCCCCTCTTTGCCCGGTGGACTCCAGCGTCATAAGCCTGAAATCCTAGCCACATTTTCAACTTTTAATTATAAAGTACTATTAATAAACTGTTAGATGATAAAGAGATATTAAAAATAAAACATTTATTCAACCATAGTTCTGGTTGCAGGATCCATCTTGCCATTTTGAAAATTGCCTAACCTTACCTCATACTTTGAGCCTTGTCTCCATGGCCAAACTGATATTACTGCATATGAGATGTATTCACCCTATTTTGTCTAAGGCAGTGATACCCAAACTGCGCGTCGCGGCCTCTTTGCAGGGTCACCGCGAAATATTGTAAAAGCTTCAATTTGAGAAAATGTGCAGTGATTTGCAGGCTCATCGATCACATTAATTATTTAATATTAATTTAATGTTAATAAAGTAAACAAAATAATGAAGATACGCGAGGTTTATTTATTTTTATCTCTTACTTACGAATACTCATACTTAGGGTAGGGCGCCATGTAAATATTTTAATTTAAAAATGGCGCCGCGACTAGAAAAAGTTTGAGAACCACTGGTCTAAGGTGATGAAGGACTGGTAATAGAATTTTCCCACAATGATATGACTATAGCTGACCTTTCCATTGAATTTCACATAGCCTTGCTTTTCCAAAAGTTGTTCTCATTCAAGGTGGACTGCAGTTTCGACCTCGCATAGGTCTTACCAACATCCCCAACTGGATTCGAACCGTGACTGTGCAGAATGGGTGCTTTACACGTTAATCACTCGGCCACATTGCCACGAGTACCCTTGGGTCACAGGGCAGATGTTAGTTTCAAGGAAGGCCAGGCTTTTCCCCATGTCACATTTCTTGGTGGAATTGTCGATCAGGTAGTCCTTAATCACCTTAGACGAAATAGGGTGAATACATCTCATTACACTGATTTACTAGTAGTCTCGAAACTCTACTTACATTCAAAAAGTGGTATTACTTACTTCCATAGCACACTTGCAGGATGGTCTTAGCCGTCCTGATCGCATGATATTCTCGCATCAGAACATTATTTTTATATATTTTTAATATATATATAACAGATTATCTATTATATAATATATATTTAAAAAATAATGGAATATCTATATTACATTAACTAATTTTATATCTATAGAATATTTAATTTATTTAATTTTTATTTAGTCGAGTTAACATCGATTAATTATTTTGCGAAAAAATTACAGGCATAGTAATATTAGCTGTGTTGACCCTATTTCGTTTAAGGTGATGGCATAGGGATTAATGTTTCGGGAATATACGCCTTGTTCTCATTGTTCGGATCCCCTTGGGTGCGAGGTCCAAACTGAAGTCCACTCTAGATGTGAATAACTTTTGGGTTAGCAAGGCCATGTGAACTTCAATGGAAGCGTCATGTATTGTGGGAAATTCAACTATCATTCCTTCATCACCTCAAACGAAGTTAAGAGAACACAGCTCCTACATCTTATTATCTGGCGGTCTTGTGAACCTACTCAAAACGCAAAATAACAATATTAATTCAATTAATTTAACTATCGCCTAGTACAATATTTGATTTCATTTCAAATTCCAAACTCAGTACATTCAAGTAAAGTTGATAAAGTATGCAAGTGTGCGTTCTAAATTCAAATGAAATACAAAGTTACTTAATACAAATAAATTTTTCATTTCACAGGAAGGTTGGTTGTAAGGAATCCAAATAGCTTTAGTCTCCACCGCGTCTTTCCTTTTTCTATATGTGCTACCATGACCATCACTTCCTATGTCCTAGTCTCTTGTGTGCCAACCCACAAATGTCGTGGTTCTACTTGCTTTGATAAGGCTCACTGAAGACGTCTCCTCTTTGCTTCTGATTCTTCCTTTCTCGTCCCTTTGCGATCTCTTTTTCTTAAATTAAGGATATTACTTTGATCCAGTCGTCTTATTTTTGTTGATCTTCCTGTTGCCTGGTCTTCTCCTAGTTTGTTTAGGCAATACTCACTGACGATGCCGACTACGATGCCGGCGAAACGTTAGGGAATGTACCACGTCCACGGTTCAACTTTGGAAATGATCGTGCAGACAATGGACTCCGAACTAGGTGGGTTCCTCTAAGTCTTCCTACCAATATGACCATGTTGCGAAAACAAGATCAAACAACCTCTATACAACGAAAGGAGAATGCGACCACACAAAAGGCTACACCATCTTGGTCTTCATACCTTCAAAGGTCAGTTAATTTTTCACTCATAAGTAACTTCACAAATGGAAGTCAACAAAAACTTTTCTTGTATTTAGTTACAGTCATAGTGCCTCAGAATTTTCAAAGCTTTATCACAGTTAGAACAACAAAAAGACTACTGTCAAACTAAAATCTTCATGAGCTTTATTTCAGTCTTCAACAGTTAGATTTGCTGCTCTCAAATTAGGACTGAAGTCTACCAGTCGTATTTTGACCGTACATTGGCTGAGTGAGATAGGGCGTTCTTTGTTCAGCTGGCTTTCAATCTTGAATGTAGATGCTGTTCCATCCTGTAATGAGGTTAGCTAAAAATAGTGTTTGTCAGATGCTGTGATCACTTTGGTCTACATATCGTCCAAATACAGGTACCACTCTACTCATCAGAGGCCTTTCATCCTCTCTGGTCTTAAGTTGTATGAAAAAGGATTCAGTTTTAAGCAGTACTATGATCCTAGATGTGCATCGAAGCTGAGCCAGGCCTATTTTAAGTCGAAGGAAGAGCAAGGAATGTTCGCTTATATTGCTTTCCCTCCTCCATAATCATTAGACTGCAAACTTATTAAACGAATTTGTGGACATTTGAAAAGAGAATAGGTGAAATATATTGTAACATCACAAGACATTCTTTGATATTCTATAAAAGAATAGACTCAGACTTTTGGACCATGATATATATACATATATATTTCGTTATCTTTCTTCATGGTAAACTGAAGAAAGTATATATTTGTTTTTTTATTGTTTTATGAAAACCTAATCTATTGACTATGCCAATCTTGACTGAGTAAACTAGAAGCTCGAAGCGGTCCTTTAAAGTAGTTTATTCATATGCTATCGTTAAGTTAACATTAAGAATGTAATATTCAATGTATTTCGCAGATTCAGCACAATTATCATGTTGGTATCGTGGTGTGATATCTATTTCAGAAAATCTAGGGCATGAAAATGGTACCTCTAAGGGTCATTGGAGCTGAGTTAAAATAAGTGGCGACTTCTGCTAGATGCTCTATGAAAATT